CTGTAACACTAGTTAATTATGTTATTTTATAGCGTTATAATGTATCGCTCATAGCTTATATTGTGAGAGATCACAACATTATAGTTTACTATAACACTAGTTTGTAGTGTTATTTTAAAGCGTTACAATGTTTAGCTTATAGTTTAAAGGTTGAATTGTTAGAGTTTATAATGTTAGAGTATACAATGTGAGTTTAAAATCTGAGAGTTTGTGAACGTGCCCTGTTCTCGTGGGACCCGACACGGATGTGGAAATAATTGCTATGATCATGTCTGAGCTGAGATGAGCGACTAATGTTTACTTTGTTTAATCATAACTGTGTGTAGGTTAGTGCAATCGGGGCTTAGTGAATACTACTCATGAATGAACTCATACTAATTTCGGATATAAATTGAAATCATGTTGGTAGAACAAGTCGCCTGCCTTTTCTAGACGAATTGTTATCTTCAAGTGCGTGCGTAAATATATTGCTAAAATACACAGCATAGGGAAGGCTGCCTTGTTGGGGAGATGTCGTTTGGGTAAGGCGATGTGGCCGTGTGATGACACGGATTCTGAAACATTGGAGTTAAACACTCGCTGCTTGGCTCCGTCGACAGCAGCGAAGGCTGTCATATACCGCCCCATTTACGAGTTGGTTGTATGATGTGTATAGTTGAAGGTGCTAGGTGTTGTCTTCTTCTAACAGATACTAACGTGCGTGTGTTGTCTGTTTTTACGATTTGTCCATTGATGTTTTTTTTATTGCGGCGTTTTTTTGTTGAGTTCTGTCACTTGAGTGTTGCAGTTTGTTTAAGAATTCGTCAGGTGAGCGTGGTGTTTTGCTTGTGGGAATTTCGCTTTGTCACAATTTGTGATTGTTATAATAATTGTAACGATTCATAATCTGATGAGTTAATAATTAGTTTGTGCGTGTATTTATATAAATATATTCCGTCTTTTGTTATTCGATGACATCTAGCAGTGAAAATCGTGATTGTAATATGACCATGTTGTAATTGTAATAATTTTTATAAGATCCTTGCACGTACCCTATACAAACATTTGAGCAGAGTGCGATTCTTATACGACCACGCAGTGATTCTAATGATATTATAATACCTTACCTCCGTTTATATGGTTATAAATTAAAACACTAGTTTATAATCTTTCAATGTTTAGTGTTATCGTTTATAGTATTACAGTTTACATGTTATAGAGTACAGTTTATCCCCGACATACTTCGGGATTAGTGACTGGTACGTTGATGAACGATTAACTACGGGGACCTTTCCCCTCAAGGAACACGTGTTAATCGGGTAGACAGCCAAGATGCTGCCGGTTAAGGGCACACTTGTGTGACGGAGATCCTACACCTGAAATTATCTTAACATGTTATTGCTAGGAACATTATAAAATAAAGACCGTACAAACATTTGTTAAAATACATTTTTATTCATCTGCAATCATTTTTACGTCAAAACTCGAAGGGAATATGTATTATGTTCTATGTTCACACATTTCCAGTACAATGCAAACCATTTCCGTTCTAGGAATACCAAAGCGTTAAAATATAATTCCCCATGATTTCCTTATTGATGACTGTGAAAATGACTTCCCACACACAGTGCACAGGAATGGCTTCTCGCTCGTGTGTGTTCTCTGATGAGTTTGAAGAGTTAACGATTGTGCAAATGCCTTCCCACACACAGAACACAGGAATGGCTTCTCGCCCGTGTGTGTTTTCTGATGACTCTGAAGATGTGATGAGTTTGCAAATTTCTTCCCACACACAGGGCACAGGAATGGCTTCTCACCAGTGTGTGTTCTCTGGTGACTCTGAAGTTGTGACGAGTGTGCAAATGTCTTCCCACACACAGGGCACAGGAATGGCTTCTCGCCCGTGTGTGTTCTCTGGTGACTCTGAAGATGTGATGAGCTTGCAAATGCATTCCCACACACAGAGCACGGGAATTGCTTCTCACCCGTGTGTGTTCTCTGGTGTCTCTGAAGATATGATGGCCTTGAAAAGGACTTCCCACGCACAGAGCAATTGAATGGCTTCTTGCCTCCTTGTACGTGGGGCTGTGGAGAGCGTCTCTGCTCCATGTGAGCGTAGTAACAGCAGCGGTTGTTATCGACTAGTACTACTTGTGAAATGCGTAGGAGGTTTGGCGGGGGGTTTTAAGTCAGGTTTTATCCGTGCTTTATGCAGTCAGGTCCCACGAGAACAGGGCACGTCCCCAAACTCTCAAATTGTAAACTCACATTGTATACTCAACATTATAAACTCTAACAATATAACCTTTAAACTATGAGCTATACATTGTAACGCTTTAAAATGACATTACAAACTAGTGTTCTAGTAAACTATAATGTTGTGAACTCTAACAATATAAGCTATGAGCGATACATTATAACGCTATAAAATAACATCATAAACTAGTGTTACAGATTAGAACACCGTACATTGAAGTGTGATATTCGAATCTCTTTCGAATTCTTAGCTTCACACCGTGGTTCTCTAAGACTCACACTATGCTCGTGTCTATGTAATATGTATGCATGATATCTATCTGTATGTAGTATGTATGCATGTAAAATGTATGTATGTAATATGGACGTGCGAACCAATGGTGGGATATGTGAAACGGAAGGTGCAGGATCAGGATGGGATTAAAATTATTTGAATAACACTTTGGTGGTATTAGGATCAAGCTGTCTACTATTGGATGAATGTTCCATCTCAATGGCATCGAATAGCAATATTCAGTATGAGTATGTAAAATAATCGCACAAACGCAATATTAGCCCGTGAAATAATGAATCGTTACAATTGTAATGACTCCGGACTCAGACTGCAGAGGGTTCTTTTATTTAGCCTTTAACGCGGTTTCAGACCCCAGGCGTCACGATGTAGCAACGACGACGATGAGACAGCAACCGGCCAACACAGCCCCAAACCTCGTTCCTCCCCCTCTCTCATTCTCGGCGTGAACCTCCGCCCACACTTGGTCTCGCCTTCCCTTCTCGAACTCTCTCTATCTTGTTGTCACCACTTGTCCCTTAGTTGACGCACTGTCTTTACATCACCCACCTCTATGACCTCTACCTGACCCCGCCATGGGCGGAGCAACTTGGGGGATTTTCCCGGTGGCACCTGTAGGCAATACAACCATGCCCTGTCCCCCACCGCCCATGGAAGCACGTGTTCCCGCCGCCCCGAGTTTTTTTCATTAGCGGAATGCGCTCTGGTGGGGAAAGGTCCTCGTTATGAATCGTTTCGCAACGTTCAGGTCCAGAATAGCGAAGTATACCGGGAATCACATGCAGTTAAAAATATGTAAATTGATAACACTATAAACAATAACACTAAACATTAAACGACAAAAAAAGATATCAACTGGTTATAGAATTTATAGCACCATAAACGGAGGTACGGTATTTTAATTTCATTAGAAGTATTATAATGGAACTCTACACATGTTTGTTAATTGTCCGTTCAATCGAACCGAGGGTCGGATATGTGAACTGTGGGGGTCGAGGGTAAGAATGGCATTCAAATTTTAGAATGACAATTTGGTCGTTTTAGCAAATTACTGTACTTGAATGTATGTTATGTGCAAATGCAAATTGTTAGTCGTAAATGCGAGGGAGGGGTTAAGAGGTGCACGTTTAATCCAGTGTTAACATTTATTTTAGCATCATATTTAAGGACACTGTTGTTGATAAGAATTCGTCTGGACATGTTATGTGCCTTGTTCTACTCGATCAACCAAAATTAGTACAATGTCGATCATACAGGAGTGTGATTTCATTCATGAGTAGTATTCACAGAGCCCCGATGACACTAACCTACCTAATGTTATGGTTAAAAAAGTAATCTTGAGTGACTTAATTCTCAGCTCAGACATGATCATCGCAATCATTTCCAAAGACGTGTGGGGTCCTGCGAGAGCAGGTCCCGACAACAAACAGCTGGGCAGCAGAATTGGAAGTAGCTGCGTTGCCCTCGAAATGTGATGTTGCTGCTGTTGTTGCTGCTGTAGTTGCTTCTGTTGCTGTAATAAACGCAGGGAGGTGGTGTTCCGTGATGGGATGACGCCTTTGATTAAAGCCTCTGTTCAAACTCACCCGATTGACGTCCTTGATCGTCGCATTTGATCAACTCTGATATTGTAGAATCTCACATGTTAAGCTCTATCATAGTGAAACATAATATTATAACCTATGAACTACAACCTATCCATTGTAACGCTGTAAAAGAATATTACCTGTTGGGTTTCACTCCCTCGTCGAGAAGGCCGCTCTCTTCCTTTTCTAAAGTTACATGCTAATTTCTCTGCATTCACTTTAAATCGAGGACAAAGTTTTTCCATTTATTCAAAATAAGCGCACAATTACACACTGAGATGCACTTACATATTCATGCATGAAGCACAATGTTAATAGACATGCGGATTGTACCTTCCAAAATTAACAATCGAATGCAAATATCCTGAAAGACAAAGGATTGGATCCCAGGGGGGGAGTTATAAGGCGGCTCAGAAGCAGAGCTCAATGCCATTTCGAGAGGGAACTTGATGAGGTTGGACGCTCGACTCGTCGCTCTGCTGATCGCCCTTCAACCGCGAGACAACGCAGCCTGGCGAGCACAATTGCTGTGTCGACAGTTAGGCGACTTTGCGTCGGGAGAGTTCGTGGTGACAGCTTCAGACGGGTTCCAGACATCGATATATCGTGAATCTCCAAGTAAGTGTCTATTTTCGCGGATAAACTCTTAAACGTGTTCGTCGTCAAATTAGCGGTATTTTTTTGCGTCTCGGTTAGACGCGAGTGTCGTTCTTGTTTTAGCAGTTAACAAAACCCAAAACTCAACGCTAAACATCATTGCGGCCGATAGCGTACATTTGACTCGATAACACCGCTGCTGTTACTACGCTCACATGGAGCAGAGACGCTCTCCACAGCCCCACGCACACGGAGGCAAGAAGCCATTCAATTGCTCTGTGTGTGGGAAGTCCTTTTCACGGCAATCAAGTCTTCAGAGACACCAGAGAACACACACGGGCGAGAAGCCGTTCCTGTGCCCTGTGTGTGGGAAGACATTTGCACGGTCATCACATCTTCAGAGTCACCAGAGAACACACACGGGCGAGAAGCCATTCCTGTGCCCTGTGTGTGGGAAGAAATTTGCACACTCATCACATCTTCAGATTCATCAGAGAGCACACACGGGCGAGAAGCCATTCCTGTGCTCTGTGTGTGGGAAGGCATTTGCACAGTCATCACATCTTAAAGACCATCAGAGAACACACACGGGCGAAAAGCCATTCCTGTGCCCTGTGTGTGGGAAGGCATTTTCACAGTCGTCAAATCTTAACACGCATCAAAAGGTCCACAATGATTGGAAACTGAAATCAAAAGCTGAAGTTCAAGGTGCTGCAATGAGACCTGAAGAATTTTCCACCTTCGATCCCATGCAGTTGGATCCCGAGAGATGGCTGGATGTAATGGAGTGGCTCGACGATCAAACCGAGAGTCAGGGATGACTGAACAAATATTACGTCAGGTAATATTTGTTAGTTTTACAGTTTTTGTGAGAGTTTAATGACGTGCACAGTGGTGGTTTGTAATGTTATCGGATTACTTGCCGAAGTGGCGTGATGAGCAGTGGTTGTGATATGATTCAATTCCGGACAATATTGTAGTGTTGAAGTCTTCCTGTTGAGCTAAAGTTGGAATGCCTCTTTAGTTAGATCTTTTCTCAACATTTTAAACGGGTTTTTTCAAGCATATAGATTTTTTTGGTTGGTATTAATCGACTTTAGATAACCAATTTAAGGATGTACATTGATGACGCGTTCGTTGGATATATGGCCTTGACTTCAACATAGACGCACAGTGAACAAATGTGGTGAACTAATAAGGAAATCATGGGGAATGATACTTTAGCGCGTTGGTATTCCTGGAACGGATATGGTTTGCATTGTATTTTAACTGTTTGAACATAGGACATAATACATTCGGTTCGAGTTTTGACTTGATTGCAGATGAATAAAAACGTTTTTTTTAAACAAATGTGTGTCCGTTCATTTATTCATATCAACAACGTGTTTTAAGCGAGTTTCAGGTGGAGGATCTTCGTCACACAAATCTGCCCTTAACCGGCAGCATCTTGGCTGTCTCCCCATTAACATGTGTCCCTGGAGGGGAAATGTTCCCTTATTATAAATCTATTCGCAACGTTACGGTCCCTAATCATCAAGTATGACATGTGAACTGTAACACTATCAACGATAACAAAAATCATTAAAATACAATAATCTATTAACTAGTTTCATCATTTATAACACCAACAACAGAGGTACGGTATTATTAGTTTTGAACAAAATAAACGGAGGTTCGTGATTATAATCGCATAATAATAATTATAATCGCACTGTGATAATGTTAGAATCACACTGTGGCCATATGCATGTTAACTGAATGCGAACCGGGGGTAGGATATGCAAGATTTGAATCTCATTACAATTATTAAAATCCCACTGTAGTCGTATTAGAATCAAACTGTCCACTGTTGGATGAATGTCATGTTAATTGAATCGAACAGCTATAAACGGTATGTAAACATATAAAGTGTATAACAATGATATGAAAAAACTACGTTCATTTAAAAAAACTGAGAATTTCGTGTATAATAATGTACGTGCAAGCGAACTGTGCTCGTATGTACGTATGTAATATGCATCTATGGCCTTCGGACATGCGAACCGGTGGTCGGATATGCGAACGGGGGGGGGGGGGGGTGCAGGATTATGATCGGATTAAAATGATTAGAATAACACTAGGGTCGTATTAGAATTATACTGAGCTAAAATATATGTTATACTAGCTGTACTACCCGGCTTCGCCAGGGACTTGTATCCACCACGGCCGGCCGCCTTTGTCTCCCCAGTGGCGATGTTAATACGCCACACCAGTTACTCGTTTTGCGGCTGAGTCCCTCCCTCACCACTCTCCCTCCCTCACCACTGTCCCTCCCTCACCACTCTCCCTCCCTCACCACTCTCCCTCCCTCACCACTCTCCCTCCCTCACCACTCGCGCACGGCCGCCTTTGTCTCCCCAGTGGCGATGTTAATACGCCACACCAGTTACTCGTTTGAGGCTGAGTCGACCTAGGGGAGGTTTAAATAATCGTCACCGGTGGTGGCCGTGAGCGGGAATGGAACTCGGTTCGCCGGGTTTGTAGCGCAGCGTAGCGTTAACCACTACACCCACCGCTCCTCACACACCACACACGCACAGACACACACACAGACACACACACAGACACACGCAGACACACACAGACAGACACACACACACAGAAACACAGACAGCACGCTAACCACTACACTACCGCTCCCCACACACCACACACGCACACACACAGACACACACACAGACACACACACACAGACACACACACACAGACACACACACAGACACAGACAGCACGCTAAGCACTACACTACCGTTCCCCCTACACAACACACGCGCGCGCGTCCATAGGTACACATACACGCGCTTGCTGCAGACACACACGACTGTCAGGGTGCGTACGGCAGTAAACGACTGAAAAAAGAAAGCGGCAATGCTGCGCGAGGAACGCCTTAGACCTGCAACACATTTGTGTAATGCGAGCGTAAACACACAAACACATACAAACACATACACACACATACATACACACACATACACACAAACACATACACACACATACACACACAACATACACACAGACATACACATACACACAAACACACACATACATACACACAAAAACATAGACAATACACACAGACATACATGCAGACACACAGACAGACACATAACACACATACATACACACACATACATACACATAAACACATCCACAGACGTACATACACACATACATACAGAGACGCAGACATACACATAAACACATACAAAAAAACCCACATACATACACACACACATACACACAAACACATACACACACATACATACACACATGCATACAGACACACAGACATACACAAACATATACACACATACACATGACCCGGCTTCGCCCGGGACTTGGATCCACCACGCCCGGCCGCCTTTGTCTCCCCAGTGCCGATGTTAATACGCCACACCAGTTACTCGTTTGAGGCTGAGTCGACCTAGGGGAGGTTCAAATAATCGTCACCGGTGGTGGCCGTGAGCGGGAATCGAACTCGGTTCGCCGGGTTGGTAGCGCAGCGTAGCGTTAAGCACTACACCCACCGCTCCTCACACACCACACAGGCACAGACACACACACAGACACACACACAGACACACACAGACACACACACACAGACACAGACAGCACGCTAAGCACTACACTACCGTTCCCCCTACACAACACACGCGCGCGCGTCCATAGGTACACATACACGCGCTTGCTGCAGACACACATGACTTTCAGGGTGCGCACGGCAGTAAACGACTGCTATAATAAAGCGGCAATGCTGCGCGAGGAACGCCTTAGACCTGCAAGACATTTGTGTAATGCGAGCGTAAACACACAAACACATACAAACACATACACACACATACATACACACACATACACACAAACACATACACACACATACACACACATACATACACACAGACATACACATACACACAAACACACACATACATACACACAAACACATACACAATACACACAGACATACATGCAGACACACAGAGACACACATAACACACATACATACACACACATACATATACAGAAACACATACACACACATACATACACACACACACATACACACAAACACATACACACACATACACACACATACATACACACAGACATACACATACACACAAACACACACATACATACACACAAAAACATAGACAATACACACAGACATACATGCAGACACACAGACAGACACATAACACACATACATACACACACATACATACACATAAACACATCCACAGACGTACATACACACATACATACAGACACGCAGACATACACATAAACACATACAAAAAAACCCACATACATACACACACACATACACACAAACACATACACACACATACATACACACATGCATACAGACACACAGACATACACAAACATATACACACATACACATGACCCGGCTTCGCCCGGGACTTGGATCCACCACGCCCGGCCGCCTTTGTCTCCCCAGTGCCGATGTTAATACGCCACACCAGTTACTCGTTTGAGGCTGAGTCGACCTAGGGGAGGTTCAAATAATCGTCACCGGTGGTGGCCGTGAGCGGGAATCGAACTCGGTTCGCCGGGTTGGTAGCGCAGCGTAGCGTTAAGCACTACACCCACCGCTCCTCACACACCACACACGCACAGACACACACACAGACACACACACAGACACACGCAGACACACACAGACAGACACAGACAGACACACACACACAGACACACAGACAGCACGCTAAGCACTACACTACCGCTCCCCACATACCACACACAGACACACACACAGACACACACACAGACACACACACACAGACACAGACAGCACGCTAAGCACTACACTACCGTTCCCCCTACACAACACACGCGCGCGCGTCCATAGGTACACATACACGCGCTTGCTGCAGACACACATGACTTTCAGGGTGCGCACGGCAGTAAACGACTGCTATAATAAAGCGGCAATGCTGCGCGAGGAACGCCTTAGACCTGCAAGACATTTATGTAATGCGAGCGTAAACACACAAACACATACAAACACATACACACACATACATACACACACATACACACAAACACATACACACACATACACACACATACATACACACAGACATACACATACACACAAACACACACATACATACACACAAACACATACAGAATACACACAGACATACATGCAGACACACAGAGACACACATAACACACATACATACACACACATACATATACAGAAACACATACACACACATACATACACACACATACATACACACAAACACATACACACACGTACATACACACATACATACAGACACACAGACATAGACATAAACACATAAAAAAACCCACATACATACACACACAGACATACACACAAACACATACACACACATACATACACACATACATACACAGAGACAAACACATACACACAAACACACACATACATACACACAAACACATACACAATACACACACATACATGCAGACACACAGACACACACATAACACACATACGTACACACGCATACATACACAGAAACACATACACACACATACATACACACACACATACATGCACACAAACACATGCACACACGTACATACACACATACATACAGACACGCAGACATACACATAA